GCGACTTGGCCGAAGTTATCATTATATGACCGGACGAGGAGATCAACTCGTCGTGGCTACCATTGCCAAATCTCCTTAAGAAGGATACGGAATGGTGTTGGGTCACCGAGCATCGAAAGGCTTTCGACGAGGTCAGAGACAACCTCCTTCATGCACCAATACTGGCTTTGTCGACCCCGATCGTCCTTTTAGTGTTGTCTGTGACGCTCCGGACATTGTCATTGGCTGTGCACGGCTGCAAGCAGACACCGAGGGGCGAGATCGGGTGATCGCGTTCGAATCTCGCCAGGATAAGGCTGTGAAAAAGAACTACCCAGTTCACGTCAAGGAAATACTTGCGATGAAGTATACGCTTGTCAAGTTCAGGCGTCACTTGCTTGACTCCAAACCGTTTGTGATCTACACAGAACATGCGTCACTATGCTTTGCGGCTAAGTCGACTCACCTCTCGCAGAGATTAGCCAGGTGGCTCTACTTATTCGCATTATATAACTTCGAGGTGAAGTATAAGCCAGGAAAGCAAAATTCTTTAGGTAATGCCTTGTTACGCAGACCGCATTATGAGCTTGCTCAAGTTACAACGGTGACGTCGTCTGTGACGGATTAGATCCGCTGGTGCCGAGGCGGCACCCAAAGGCGCTCAACCATCGGAAGCTGGACCAACAACTGGTATTGAGCACAAAATGAAACAATTTTCGTTCCAACGGCGCCAGGCTCTCCACCGTTTTACGAAGTGACGCATTCGATGTCTAGGTGCCGCTCCGACAGAGCGCGATAGTACTCAACGTGAGGTAGTCGTCGCACAAAGTGCTCCAATATCTCAAGGCCTTCCGCAAAACGATATGCGACCACAATATGACGCTCAGCGTAGCGCCGATGAGCTCGAAGAGCATCGCGAGTCGGACGGCGATCGACCAAGTCGTCATTGCCCGCCGCCGACTCTTCTCGATAAGAATTGTGGCGTCCACTACCACTTAGAACGCCTTATGGGTCGGGTCAAACCCAATATCTTGTGAAGTGGCGGGAGTACCCAGACTCCGAGAACTCGTTAGAATTCGAGATGCGACTTCGGCAAGACTTTCCCGTCGTCGTGGATTCTTATGATCAGATGGATCATGACGATTCACGCATCTCGGCAATAGACGGGGGGGCCGAAGGGTCACGAGCTGAACTCAAGTTATGGTCCTGAGTTGCTGTGGTCGTAGTCTCATCCGTGTGAGAAGCTACAGATTCGCGGGAGTGTGATGGATTATTCCATACATAGCAGGGAAACAATACGTAGGATGTCGACGTTGCGCCTTGATTTTGGCAAAATCGAAACGAAGATGGTGCTCTGCACGCACGTCCACTTCCTTGTGGCTTCGAGGAAAATTTCCGGTACCGCTACACCCATCGCTCAAAGAGCTCCCCATCATCTGCAGCGGGTTCGCCAGGGGCGATCACCACAGGAATCGTCCGATTCCTCGACGAGGTGATTGGTTGCCCGTGGCGAGCGCGGTGTACGGCGCCCTGTTACCGATGCCTTGTTATGCGCTTCCGTTGAAGCCGTGGACGTACTGTCCGGCGTTGCACCGCGAGCAGAAGACGAAGAGGTGCTCTCCCCGCGGGCGCTCCTGAAACCAGCAAGGCTGGGTGTGTTTTTTCGTGTCATATACTCAGGGATCATTGAGCAGAGAATGCGTGAAGAAGGACCCAAGGACGTAAAGATGTCACAGACACGCGAGCCTCATACGAGGAAGCAGTTAAATGTGAGATGTGAAAATTCACAATTTTGATGGGGGGGGGTGTAACGGGGTTACAATGAAAGGGTGAGTCACACAAGATGGTGTGACCGTACAAAGTTATGGATTACGCAAGACGGTGTAAGCCCACAATGGTGTGGCTACCCTCTAACAAGAAGCCACACATGGCGGAACCGCCAGTAGTCATGCATTATGATTAGATTTTACTCATCAATCAGAAAAACTTCGTAATTTGAGTATATAGGCAGCTCTGCCGCAATTAAACAGATAATTTCAGTTCCAATTCTGAACGGAAGAGTACATTTTCCGTGAATTAATGTTTTAAGTACTCTTGGAGGTAGCGGATTGCGATCCGCTAAACTCATACTGGTTCTAGCATAGAATGTCTGGTCGGTGACCTTAGTAAGCTTCCTCTAAGCAAGGAGCTTCGGCAGCCCCGCTGCACTGCTGTACTAGTATCTGCTACGAACACACCTCACCCAAGCTGACAAGCAATGGTAGTTGTGGCAGATGCAGCACCAGTAGACGGCCACAACGTAAAGAGCCAGCTCCAGCATATGAAGGATTTGATAGAGGACGCTTCGCAAATCCATCATTTGCAACCGACGCAGTATCAGAAATTACACTTGCTTGGAATAAAAAAGATATTACCGTGTTATTCGAATACCCGCCTTTTGTAAAAGCGACCGTAGCACTGTACTTATTTGATTGAGCAGCATCCGAGTATAGAAAAGATTCCGCACTAGGCTTCTCAGCATACTGAGTGCTATAATCAGTCTGAGCACATAATTGTTCCAGAATAGCTTATAGTCAGCCATCAAATCAAAAGTCTTACCATTTAGCTCTCAAGACATCGAGTCGATAACATTGAAGCCGCCACACTTCAGCCAAACGCAGAAACAATTAGCAGCTGCATTAGCATATATAGCGTGGGTGTTCTTCATCGAGACCATGTATGGTAGCATAATGTACGCATCGTGGAGCGATGCTGCAGCAGGGCTGCCGTTGATCTTTCGCTTAGAGAAAGCTAAGCTAATGTCGATGATCTGCGTTCTATACTTAAAACCAGCGCGGGTGTGGTGGATCGCAATCCGCTGATTTCACGAGTAACCACAGCCTTGATCTAAGCCAAATAAACTTCCGTTCAAATCCAAATTGTATTTCTTTGTTTTATTTGCAGCAAAGCCGCCTATATTTAAATCTATCGATTTTTCTAATTAATAGTAAAAAACCTGATTACAGTGCATAACTACTGGCAGTCCAGCCACGTACTGACTTCTTGTTAAGGTGAAGCCACATCATTGTGTGATAACACCATCTCGTGTAACTCACATCATTGTATGGTCACACCATCTTGTTTGGCCCACCCCTTCACACCAGGGTAACACTCTCCCCTATCAAAATTGTGAATCCCCACTATTCACACTTAATTGTCGCCTAGTACGAGGCTCGAACACCTTTAACTCCCCAAGACCTTCTGCACGCATTCTATGCTCAATAATTCCCGTGACTAAGAACTGAAAGACACCCAGCCTCGCTGGTTCCGAGACCGCCCGCGTGCAGAGCCCTTATTCGACTCCTGCACGCGGTGCGAATTCGAACAGCACGTCCGCGGCTTCAAGGGAAGCGCATCCTAGGCCCTCGGCAACCGAGCACCACACACCGCACCCGCCACAGGCGAAGGATTACCTCGTCGAGGATTTGGAGGAAGCCGACTACGATTCAGATACTCCTTTCCCAGGATGGAAAAATGAAGAAGGCGAGGTGCTCCCTCGTTTCCTGACCTCTCGACTTCCGGGAAAAGTGTTGTCATTACCAATCGCATCGAAGAGGCACAGAATCAGCAGTTAGAGGCTGGTCACATAGCGGCTCTCATGCGCTCGCACCCACGGTCGGTCCTAGAATCTTGTGTGGAATACGGCTTCTGCTCAGCGGATACCGCTACTGAAATGAAGAGCGCGTTATCCCGGTCGTTGGGCGTCTAGATTGTCGGGCCCGCGTCTACTACACAAGCCGAGTTTTTAACAAAACGCTCCCCGAGCTCGCTTCTTGGTACTTCAATAAATCCCAATGGATAGGTACTGCGCTGGACATCGCGCCCAAAGAGGAGG